TGAAGGAGGTAAAGTCTCCATTTTCACCATAGGAATTTATTAATATATTATTTTTATAAATAAAAATAGGAGATATTAAAAATACAAGAGTGCTGCTCTGGCATTGGTGTGGACATGAAAGTGGGAATGGACTGCACGGGGGACAGATCACGACAGTGCCCCCAGTGACTTCCCACACTTTTGATTTAACGCCTGTCACTGTTCATTAGTAACTTAGAGCATCCCGAGTGATGTTTGTAATGCAAGGATGAAAGTTTCTGACATTTTAAGATGTAGCTAGTCTGTTTCTTATAAGGAAAGAACTGGAGGATGATGAGAATTGAAAGAGACATGTTAGCCACGGTGACGTACTTGGAAGTCTTCAGTTGATTTTCTCTTTGTGTTACTGTTCAGCGTCCTCTAAACGGTCATGTATCACTGTGCCTGGAATGTCTGCTGGAACAGTCCTTGGTGCTGGTAGTATCGGAACAGATATTGCAAATGAAGTTCTGGATTTACAAAGGTAATGTTTTATTGCTGCAAATAGTTTTACAAGTAAAATTACTGTCGTGTTTATAAAACTGGGATTAGAAATCAGTAGTTTTCCTATATGCAGGCAATAGTATAACGATATATATAGTGGAAAAGATGATTACCTTTACAGTAGCAATAAAAAAGAAAAATATTTCAGATGTAAATTTTATAAGAAGTGATAAGACCTACATAAAAAATAAAATTTGGTTTAAAAAGGCACATAAAAGGTAACTGGAATTACTTTTCCAATATATGCTCTTTTTCAATGGGAAGACTTACTATGGTAAGAGTGTTATTCCTTAAACTAACCTATGAATTCAGTGTGAATCTAGTCAAAATACCACCATGCTACCATTCAAATCTAGTCAAAATACCATCCATGCTACCATTGCCACCACCGATCATATTAAAATATCCAGAAAACTTCTGACAAATAAAAGTAATAAAGTAAAACTAACCCTGTGGGACAGTAAAATATGTTATAAAGCTACAGTAAATAAAACATTTTGGTAAATCCACAAATAGATCAATGTAAAAGGTTAGATTTCAGAAATAGACTCAAATGCATGTGGAGATTTATTATATGATAAAAGTGGCATTTTTAATCAGTAGTGTAAATGGATTAAACATTAAAGGGC